ACAACTGCCGACCGGGGGCCGCACTTGGAACTAGGCATTTTTCTTCATCGCCATTAGCGGTTGAAACGCTGCACCGTCGAAATTCTCGAGGCAGTTTGACCGCCGCAGGTCCACAACGTGAAATCATTTTGCTGTTGCACGCTACAAAAACAAACTCCCGCAAATATGTGTCAAAGATAATGGCTGACGTTTCGCGAAATGGGAACACTCACGGCCGGGTCCCCACTACGCCGCTGGCGTTTATTTTTAATAATCATGTGGAAACGGGATTGTCTGAGAGTGAAAATAAACGCGCTGCGGCTGCAGGTTCGAGTTTTATTTAGACGTGAGCCCCACACGTGTGTGCACGTTGTGCTCATGCGACCATGCGTGTGTGCACGATGCTGGACGCGTGCGTGCGAGCGAGCAAGCGAGCGGGGCGTGCGTCCACGCGCAGATGTCCGAATGAGCAAAGATGTTGAGCCAGTGTGAGAGGCTCCTCTGCTCCAAAGCAGTCCTTGTCTGGGCCACTGTTACTTCTAGAGCAATCGCAACTCACGAATGATAAACCCTCGTGGACAGGCCACCGTTGGGGAGCTAGATCTAAACAGGACACGCACGTGGAGGAGGTGGAGGAGAGGGCAGGAGGGAGGGCAATTGCAGGAAATTAACGTTCTGAAGCCAATTTAGCAAGAGCTTCACCTGCCCTGCGTCTCCTCTGGCAGCGGCGGCGGGAAATCTCAGACCGAGAGGAATTCCGAGCACTGACAAGTCCCGAGCAGCTTGCGCGATCCTGTCTGCGAGCAACGACTGACGAGATTTTATATTATTATTTTTATGATTTTTAACAAAGTATGAAAGGATCTGAGTGAGTCACTGCAAGTGCTGGGGTTTTGCCTGCACAGGATCAATACGTGGAGGTATGCGAGTTATTCGTGCTCTGCAAGAACTCACGGCGAAGAGACGTCCCCTCTCTCAGCCGAGGTCTGGCAGACGTGAAACATCCTGGGCCGAAGCCCTGCCGAGGCACCGAGTTCACGTGACTTTGTTCGGATCTGTTGTCCACGGCCATTTCCACTGAATCATGGGAGTCCCGAGAATTCTGGGAAACCCTACTCTGTCAGACATCGTCACGCTCGTTTCCGTAAGTGAAAAATCGTTTCGCCGTGACCGTTCGATAGCATCAAACCACGCCGTTGACTAGAGGTGCTCATAAACGCCTCGATGCAGCAGCCTGCAGTAAAATTGTTCAAGTTATTGAAGAAGTAAAATTGTTCAAGTTATTGAAGAATTTTATTTAGATTATTCACAAATTAACACCTTTGGCAGTATTTACGTTGGCAAAAGTCCAGGTCGCTATGCACAACTGTCTACAGATAAAAAAAACAGGACTTTGAAGAGCTGTCGGCTGGAAAAGTTGATTATTCTCAATTTTAAGGGAATAACTCACGCTTTATACTTTTAAAAATACATTCACTCCGCGGCATAATTCCACATGACCACAGAGACCCACAACACTGCCGATCCCCATCTCATAAAGGCAACCGCCAAATGTATATATTGAGCGTGCTTGCACGCAGCAACCGCCAAACAAAGCCCGTTTGTCTGCAGAAGCCTAAAAGGGTAATTTCAAACAAATATTACGCACAGCTATCTTGTGCTGACCATACATTGTTCCCAGACTTGTGGCATGATTCGGTTCGAAAAAAAAACTCCACCGCCACATTGGAGCGAAGATGGCAGCGTGGACGAGCCCGCCGCACACTCGCGAGTGTCGCACAATTCAAGGCAAACATCGGGACCTGAAATTTTCCAATTTAGCTTTTTCCGCAGCGATATACACATTACACTGTATAATGTGGGAGATTACCTTTCATGTTTAAATCTTTGTCTAAACCCCAACATCATTCTCTGATTATGTGCCCTGAGGATTGATTGATCGGTTATCGCGGTCACTGCGGTGATCGCGGTGTCTATGTGCGGTGCGGTGGCGTCGACGGCATTGGTCCAGATGACTTTTTTTCTACACGAGTAGTCTGCTGTGCGTATGGCCTGTTTGATTTTCGGCCAAAGATAAACATCAGCAGCAAAATGATATTTGAACCGCTCCCTGGGTACGCTCATTAATCACCAACACGCATGGACCATCGTTGGTGAAGAATGGTCAACAAGCCCCCACGACCGACATGGATTTTTGTATTTAGTTAGTTGTCCTTCCCCCGCACATCCGATTATCACGGTTGGCTACGTACGGCGCGAAAGAAGTTCAACAACATACATGGGGAGGGCTCTCATCAAGCGGTGGATTGACAAATGGTTGAAAGTTAAGTTATACGCGGGTTCAACTTACATCACAATCCTAAAACAATAAATACGTAAAAAAAATATATATTACTTCCCTACGACAATAATATGTATTCCTGACAATATTTGGACTTTTTCCCAATTTCTTGCATAACGTGTTCCGTATGTTTCTAAAGCCCAAACTGTGCAGTGCTGGTGTCAGCGTTGGATCACAACGCGTTTGAGACAACCGTGACAGCGACTACAAAACAAACGACATAAACGCGAGCACTTGGCTCGGAAAAATAAACCCGAGATCGCTTTGAGCTGCCACAGTAATTGACGAGCTATTTTTGTAATTGAATATACGGAAATTGTTTCTTGTGTAAAGCAAGACGCTCGTGGCACCGCCGTTGAAAGATGCGATGAAAATTCTTTCATCGGCGATCATTTTGGGTTTTCCCAAATTTTCCCGCAAAGTGGATCGGAGCGCCAAATGGACTGCGATAAGTCGGACGCAGACAGAAGGAGGAACCAGTGGGTGAGCCAGCCGCACTTACAGCTGGAAGAGATTTGACAAGGCCTTCCGTTTTATCTTCCCCTTCTGCATCTACCGCCGAGTCACTCGTGCTGCCCCCACTCATCCCACAACGACACTGTCGGTGTTTTTTTTATTTGACGAAAAAATGCCTTCAGCGCGGTGCCAATCTTTGTTGGTCGTTCCCAATCTTTGTCGGTCGTTCCAAGTCACCGGTGGCAACTCCACGTTCGTATGTATGTATGTAGAACTAAGTAGCCAACAATGCTCATCGGAGGTGCGGGGAAGGACAACAAACTAAACACAAAAAATATTGTATGGTCAGAACAAATATCGGACAATTGCTGTTGACTCTCCAACTGTTGGTGTTCTTTTTACCGATTTAAAAATGGTTGATGGCGATGATGATGGCCTTCATTTCAGCTGGGTCTTTCTGCGTTGGTGGCCCCGCTAAATATTACCACACCCAGCACACCACATGCAGTATACTTCTTGGTGAGCGCGTGGCGACTCGCCACGTGCTGCACTACTCAAAGTCTATCAGCAACCTTGAAAATATTAAAAGCGAAATCAGGCCCTTCCTGAGTCAACCGCGGCTGTAAATCAAACGCGTGTGCTCGCAACTGGGAGGGCTACTTTAACAAATGAGCCGCATCAATTGGGTTATTCTTTGATATTTTTAATTCGTCACATATTTAGATGATTTAAACCTCAGCCTTGGTTTGCACTTCGCTGCAACCAATTTAAAGCTCCCGTTAAAACAATCACGAGCTTTAAAATCTTAGTCGAATTAGCATCTGCGGACGACTTCAGTGGATGGTGTGAGGGGGAGTGTGGTGGGAGTGGGTGAAGCTACAAACCCCGCGACCTGAAATTCATTTCCGACCATGGCTCCCGTCAGTGGCGAGTGACATCCGAACCAATGCCTGGGGCTCCCCCATTTCACCAACCCGCACCTGACGACCAGCGTGGTAAAGTACGGTCAAACAACCCCCATGACTAACGCACCATGGGGGGAGGGCCTTAAATCCAGAAAAATATTGTCACATTACGCAAATTTTTATTTATTTAAAGGGGGAAAAAAAATGCAACGCACGAGGTGTTTTCATGCAACCATCCACAGGCCTGTGCCCATCCCTCCTGCTCAGCCCTTCGTGAAATCACCGCCTCACCACAGGCCTGTGCCCATCCCTCCTGCTCAGCCCCTCGTGAAATCACCGCCTCACCACAGGCCGGCCAGCTGGCTGCTCCGGGACGTGCTATTATGCACCCACATCTATGGGACCGCAAGCGCCATTTATCATTTGCCAACTTGGAACATTTATCATTTGCCAACGTGGCTGGCTCTCATCGGCAGGATTCTATTATCCTGGGCTCCTTCCCGCTCCCTTTTCCACTCTCACTCTGCGAGCTCCCAATTGCAGCAGCCCGCCCACATCCCAGCTCCGCCGACCTCCCATCTCTCCCCGCGCGTGCCCAGCCACCGCTGCCACCGCTACCACCCCCCTCTCCCCCTGGCATGCTCCAGACACGACCGCGACCACATAGAGAAGTGCTCATGGCTTGGAAAACAATGCGCGGCCCAATTGCTACAGGTGGCCCTGCAGATTTGACTTGGAAGCACGTGTGTGTGTCAAGAGGCTGTTTTGAGGATAAGTAGTAGGTCATAGAATGGACCATGCTGCTTCCACTTAAAGATTAAGTACTCACGTAGACCTGCCTCACATCTCAAGCAGGATTTGTCCTTGCATAGGCTATTATTCATGACTCCTTGAGGATTTGAAATTATGCAACGAATATCAGGGTTACATCCCGTCAGGTCGTGCTGTTGTCTGAGCGAATGTCTCGCAATCAGAAGGTCGCAAGTTCAAATCCCTCCAATGACGTGTGGGGGGTTGAGTTAGCCCAACGTACTCCATGTGGTCTACAAAACGTGTACCGCCGTTGTAGGCGGTCAACAGCGATCTTTCCTATGGAGTGACTCGTCCCCGTTTGAACAATGTGTCGTTTCCACCAACGATTCGTGTCTGTCAAAAGGAGACGAACACTGCTGTCATGGCCCTGTGAGTTGGACATGAATCAGACTTGGTTTGTATTTCATCATTTTTGTTATTATTCTAAGAGGGGAGTGGGGGGGGGGATATAGAACGGCTGCAGCTTAGGGGGTGGTGGGGGGGGGGGAGGGATGGCGAATGCTCACCGGGGGTCCTCGGGGTCCGATGATGGATAGCCCTGGCTCCCCAGGGGACCCCTGCAAGCAGAGCGACACGGTCAGCGTTTCCACGCTCTGATGGCACCGCTCTCAACAGTCGCGCACGGAGCCCGCGACTTAAAAAAAATTTAAGCAAAAATAAAAAAAAGCGGCAGCTGGATTTAATAAACGGGCGAATAAACCGGCGACGTGAAATAAAATTGCTCTCGTTATTCATGACACGATGGCGAACAGCGGTGGCGTCGAGTCGATCGCGCCGAGGCATCGGACGGGTTGACTTAGCACCAAGCAGGTTTGTCGAGCGGCGTTGGTTTGTTACTCGTCAGCTGGATAACGGGCGGCTTCGGAGGGATTTTTCGTGACGGGGGTATGAGATATATGCCCGACTATGTCAGCTTAACGCTGCCAAGGGAGAAGGGGGAGGGGGGTGGGGGAAACAGCCTCCTCGAAATCACGGGCAATTAGAGAGAATGAATCTGTCACAGGGTTCGCAGGAACTCGAGCCAGAATTAGGGAAATTAAACAAAATCCCTGAGCAGGAAAGACAGGACACACCGCCCAAACAGATTGTGAAAGTTGCGGCCGATTTGGGGCGCAGGTGGGAAGCTTCTCGAGATCGAAAACTCATTTCGTGAGCACTGCTCTTTGTGCTTCGTTTGTTGTCCTTCCCCCCCCTCCACACCTTCGCTTTGCACGGTTGGCCACGTGCGGTTTGATGGAAGCTCAGCATACAGGACATTCGTTCTCGTCCCTGTGGTTCGTGGCGAGCGACTCACCGAGCCAGCCCGCAGGCACAGTGGACGAACTAACGCTGGCTCTAACATCGCATCTTTCAATGACCTGGATGCGCTCGTCTGATCCAGAGCTCACGACGCGACATTAGCCACGTGACCTACAGGCGCCGCTGGGCGGGCACCATGCGAGCGGAGCGACTCCAAGGGTGAGAACCGAATGTCTATCGGACTGGTGCGTCGCAAAAAAAACGCCCGAAACTAAAAATGTATCGCATGTTTTTTTGTTTGTAATGCACGGCTGTTAATAATACTGCTACGTATGTAATACGGTGTATTCTGAGCTATGCATGTAGCTGTAACAAATCACGTTTCCCTTCAAGCAGTAGCTGTAATTAAATATGCGAAAAATGCAACGTTACCGCAAAACTGTATAACGAAGTGAAAACTTGAAGCGGTCCAAATTTAATAAAGGCAACTATTAAACACAACAGAGCGATTAATTTTGACTGCAGTCATCGAGCACATGGTAGCAATAGTGTGCGTTATTGTAATTCCAAAATGTTTGGACATCCGTGTACACAAGCACACACACACACACACACGCAATCACGCGCCCTAGCACGAGCGTACGCGTGCACGCACGTGCTCACAAGCGCACGGTAGCCGTGCGCTGAACAACAACGCTGCTGCACCGGAGCGAAATTGCAGCTGGAGCGCCTGGCTAGCTTCAAGAGCCACTCCACCTAGAGGGCTGCCCCACGGCACAAGCCAAGCCTGCACCTGGGATTAGCGGGGAAGGGGGTGAGGGGGGGGGGGGGCTGAGTGGGGTTGTTGGGGAGGGGGCAGAGGCAAGGGCAGGTTGAGCCGTGAACGAGCTGCCGCCGGTCGGGCAAACCCTAGGGGGGGGAGCTGTGGTCAGGAAGGGGTTTTGTTGAAGCCGCATTTCAGATTTTTCATTTTTTTTTCATTTGCCAATTACATCTGTACAAGTATTGAGCCCCAGGAGTGGGTCGCGCTGGAAGTCGCTCGAGACTCGGCAGTGGCCGTTATTGAGTCATAATTCAGAACATGCCGATGTCGTGCATGAATGATCGACAGTTTTAGAAGAAAAAAAAATGGCATCTTAATGAAGCCTCTCAAAGGACTTGCTCCCTGGCTAACGAGGCCAGGGGTGATGACGAGAGAAAAATACGCGGCGAGGGCTAGCAGCTCATCGATACTCGATGATGCACTTGGTAATTTGCAAGTGTAAATGTACGCACGGAGTGTGTACACCAAACGCTATTGTGTACGCAGAACTATGTATAGGAATACCCATTGCCACTGAGCCTGGTGTAACCGCACAGGTGTTTTGCGTTTCAAATCGAATGCGGCGCGCAGGGACCCCAACAAGAACTTTGGTCACCTGATAATCAAATAACCCTAAAATGTGCCTGTAATTGTGTCAAATCTTGGCAGCGAAGCAGATTTGAGCCTGCTTGGTCCTTGCATTGGTGACTGCCAGGGCTTGCCAGCTGTTCAAGGTGGTAACGCCGAGCGTCACCCCCCCCCTCCCACGCCGAAAACGAAACGTTCGTCCAAGGCGGTGGCCAAACATCGCAGCGAGCCCGGACCCCTCCTGCAAAGGAGACTTGAGACTCGGCGAGGCCATGCCGACCAAGTCATTTCACTTTCACCTCGCGGAGCTGTGATATTCGCGTTCACTCTGGCGGCGGCCGACGCCTCGTTAGCGAATCTCACAAAAGCCGCGTCCCGCGGGGCTACCCCCTCGGCCCTCCCCCCTTGGCCCCTCCCCCCTCGGCCCCAGCCCCCCAGCCCCCCAGCCCCCCAGCCCGGTGCGGCACCTGCGGGTTCACCGTTTCTCAGACCCTCCCCGACCCCCTTATCACCGCCCCTCAACTCCCCTCGCCTAACTCTCCCCCCCACACCCCACCCACCCCGTCCACGGCCCGCAGCCCCGTGTTGATGGTTTATTATGATGAATGCGACTTGACGTGTTAAACGCGCCCGCGTCAGGCCGCATTCATCACGGGAGGGCATCTTCAAAGCGTGGCAGCCAGGCAGGCAGGCGCGCGTGCGCATTTTTTTCAGGGGGGGGGGGGGGGCGGTTGGAGGGTTGGTTAGGTAATTCGTAGCAGAGACGGCTGCGTCTGGGGGAGCCGAGCGGTGCCGCACTCACCTCCAAGAGCCTCGAGTTTCCCCCTCCCACCCCCGCTCGTACACTCGCCTGCCTCGGGTCTGATATTCACACCGCGCCCCGAGCCCCTTGCGGGCCACTCGGAGCTCTCGCCGCTCCCTCGCCCTCTGTCTCCCCAACGTGAGACCAACTTCCATCAAACGCGCAAATTCCTGCACGAGATCTGCGGTGGATTTTGAGCGCGACTGCTGCCCCCGTCGGGACGGGCGCTGGTCTGGGCACGCACCGGGGGCCAGCCCTCCTCGGGGACGAGACGAGCACTGTAACCGTATCGGCCCCGTACCCCGCGCCTCCGCGCTTCCAGCGCCTTCAGATTGACGAGCGCGGCGCGGCGACGTGTAAAGGGGCCGTCCATAAATGACGTTAAGCGATTTTGGACGATTTTTGACCCCCCCCCCTCTCGCCACACGGCGTCACAAAAAGTCAGATCCCCCCTCAAATATGACGTCACAAAGCTCTGCCCCCCCCCCCAAAGCCATATTTCCATTTTGAAAATAAAACATGCTTCAAATCGCTTTAAACTATTTCATTGTAGTGCGTATTTGATTTGGCGCTGCACTCTGCCCCCCCCATAGGTGCGTGACGTCATTTATGGACGGCCCCAAAGATGCCGATGCGCCGCGTGCGGTTGTCGTTAAGAGTTTGGGTGGTGACTTAAAGGAAGAGGGGATGGAGCAAATCAACAGCCCTGATGTTGTGGCCACACGTCGAGGCTGCATGAGAGCTGGGCTGTTGGAAACACGTCTGAAGCTTCGCTCATGAGGAAAACAAATTACTTTCAAGTGACTTTGAGTTACACCACTGCGGTGGCACGGCAAAGGCGTGTTTCAATATCGGAAACGCAACGTTGATGCTGAACGCGTGTCAGGCAACCCAGGTCACGTGGCCTAAGTGTGAATCTGCACAACAATAGGAGCTGTTTGTGTGCCTGGTTTATATCTGCCTCTGACATCACTGCCAACGATGTGACTCTCAACGCAAGCAATTTCTAGAGGAATCAATTCCATCATCGTCATCGTTCGTTTCAATTAATCCGCTCGCAAAATTATTTCGCAAAGCAGGAATTGAGCCAAAATTTCGTGCCAAAACGATTTCGTGGGGAGGCCCTCACTCATCCAATCGTGAATTGACAAAGGAGTTTTTTGTAATTTCTGGCCTCATTCCCGGGATGCCCTTGCGAGTGCTTGGGCGAGGGGGCTGTCTTTGTCGGCCACTGACCAGGAACCCCGGGGAGTGCTCACCTTTTGTCCGACGTGCCCCTGTGCGCGGTGGGAAGGACACAGCCACATGCAAGTCAGGCCAGCAGCGGGGGAAAGGGACACACAAAACACAGCGCGTTAGTGCACGCACGCCAGCCTGCCAGCCTCTCAGCCAATCCACTGTTATCGTGCTCACTCCCCCCTTGCCTCTCACGCTCCCTCTCCTCTCGCACTCTTCCACATGTCACACCCTCGCTGTATCTCACACTCTCTCAGCTACTCATAGACGCGCACACGTATATATTATATGCACTCTTCCAGTTTGCTGTCTTTTCTTGGATTTTATGTTTGCACATATTCACTTTAAGATGTTTTCTTGTTCATGTTTTTGTTTTTTGTTTGTTGCGGTTGCACCCGATTCAAGAGCCGAATGGCTCACAGGGCTATACCTAATAAATGAACTTGAACTTGAGTTACTCGCTGTCACTTGTTTACTCATTCGCTCATTCTGTCAATTGTGCTCATCAATTCGCTCTGCTAAGAATCCGACTATTCCGTCTCTCTGGGAAGTCGGTCACTGGTTTGCCCACAGGTCCAAGGCATTCACCTGTTCACCCACTAATTCGCTCATTCATTCACCCTCTTGCTCAATCACTTCCCCACTCATCTCCATTTAATCACTCGTGCATCTCACCAGCTCACTGCCTGATGCCTCAAATTGGGCACTGCTGCCAATGATTTGCCGACGATGAACATTGTGACGTAAAAAATATATATATCCAAGGAAACTGGGAGTGACGTTGGCATGTGCTCTCACTATAGAACACTATACCACATTCTATGTTCAAATCAAAATCAATTGAGGATTCTCAGGTTAAATTACCATCTGCAGTGCCCAACCACTCAGACATCAGACCGGCCCTTCTCACTCGCGTGCGAGTTGTTGAGGGCAAATGTAAGTTTCCCCTCCCAATAAATACGCCACTAATTCCAGCTTGGTTAATATAAGGAAATCGAATTGCTTTTCGACTGCGTCACACACCGGTGAGGAAGGGCCTCAGTGTCTGATAACGTGGGCCTCCTCTCTCCTGGACTCCACTACGACACTCCCCGGGCCGTGACCTCACACGGCATTGAAAAGCAATAAACGCACAGCAGGTGCGGCAAGTAGAGGCAAGATTAAAATGTAACTCAATTCGCAACGACTCCCACAGGCCACACGTGGTGCAGGGGAATAAATACATTAAAAACACTCGCAGCTAAATTACGCTCATTTAGTTCGTGTGGTTTGCAAGTGGTCCGATGTGGCCCGTAATTGCCAGCAACATTCATTCGCGTTATGCAACCTTGTTTTGTGAAAAAATAAAATATATATGTACATTTAGGACCAGGCCGATTTGTGTTGTGGTTCAGAGCACTCGACTACCGATCAGAAGGTTGCGAGTTGAATTCATGGTCGATGGTCGAATCGCTCCAATATTGCTCAGTGGTTGATAAAACAGGTCTTTGTGGGTCAGTGAACGGTGGTCGTCTCATACAAAGACGCTGCCCCCCCCCCACCCCCCGCAACAAAAAGGTGGAATTTCTACGATTGGCCAATAGAGATGAGCACCAACCAATGGTTGTTCGAGCGGGGGAAGAGACACTCTGGAATTTGGAACAAAATTTACGTCGACGCCTGTAATAGGCCTGATGTTCTACGCTGACCTTTAATGAGAGGTCGGTGTGGGGTCGGCACTGGGGAGAGTGAGGTCACGGCGTGGAGGAGGCGCCCATCAGCGAGTTTTGAGATTTACGTCCATGTTGAAAAAAAGCCAGGGTCGAAAGCTCAGGTGGAGAAATTAATATATACGAAGTCGTAACACAATTACCTTGGGAAATGGTTCAACGGTGTTAGAATTAAGCTCATTTGCCAACCGTTACTCGAACAACATTAATAATGTTAACAAAGCAGAAACAGCGTATGCATGTTCGCGACACGGGTCAATTAGAATGAGCTCATGCTTACGTTAATACAATTTTAAAAAGAGACATTTCAATGCTCGTTTACCACGTAGACCAAAGCAAGTCGCTGCTTGGGGGTGAGAGCGAAAATTAATAACAAACGCAGCCGGCGGGTCGCAAAATTAACTGGTACTGCCACCTGCGAGGCTCATCAGCTCTGCCTGAGTTTAGCGGGGATGGCACATGGGCAGCACAATTAAAGCTGGCAGCATCACGCCCATTACAAGCAGGGATCACTGGAGCCCACAGAAGCACCGATTTCACAACGGTGAAACTCGCTTCACTCCTAGGTCACTTGCCGAAGATGAGGTGCAGAGTGTGAGCTGACCCTTGACCTACCGCCTCAGTTTAAGACAGAGAATTTTCACCACAGGATAAGAGCGTATTTTTTTTAAGGGGAGAAAGAAGCCATTGCCTGTTCACAAGGCCCATGGTTTAAAATTGGCTTTTCTTTACGTTTGATCAATTTCACAATTGTTTGCGGGAACTATGAAACAAATCCTTGCACGCATTAGCGCAAAGAGATGTATCACTAGATATTACACTGGGCAGCGGTATAGAAGCACAGCCGAGAAAAGCTCACCACTGACTTGCAGGGCGAACATTCATAAACGGCTAACGTTCTGTGCACTGCTCCCTAAAAGTGAGGGCCGCAGCCCAAAATATCCGTCCGTTATCTATTTCTCCGTTGCAGGGCAATGTTGCATGCTGGGGTTTCCTGTGCTGTGTGTAAACGAGCATTTTCTAGAGAGAGAGGGAGAGAGACGCGGGTGCTTCTGCGGGGGGGGACGGGGGGTGCGAGGAGGTTTATGTTGGGAAGTTGCGGAAAAGCGGCGCACGTCACCAGGGGCACTCACCGGGGGTCCCGCGAAGCCGGGGCTCCCTTTGCTGCCCTACACAGGGGGGGAGGGAGCGATCCAGCCACCGCGGCCAGCGTCAGCGAACTCTCAACTCACGGGGGGGGGGACGGGGAAGGGGGCCGCGGTGGAGGGGGGGGGGTACCGACACCTCCGCCGGCTCCGTCCACAAAGCTGATGGCTGAAAAACACTTGAACTGTCCGCGGACGGGCGAGGCGGCCGGTGGTGTGAGGTGCTGGTTTTTGTTTGTTTGCCACGGACACCGAAGAACGGCCGACAGGGACGAGCTGGTTGGGTCGGTCCCGCGGGCCTCGGCACCCCTGCGCGACGTCTCGATGGTCATTTGTGAGAATCTTGACCGACAGATGCTTGCACGCGAAAGCTCCCTCCCGAACCGCGGACTCACCGTCACGTGCCGAGGGGCTGACGGAAACCGGCGCTGCGGTGATGATGGCTGAACTCCACGGCGTGCGCATTTACAACTCGGTCGTGAAACCCGTCCGAACACGTCACGCTGCAGCACAATTGTTTTCGCCGATCGCCGCGGTGATTTCTCACCGTCGTCAGAGCTGGAATCCGCTCTGAGCGCGTCGCCTCTCTCAAAAGCAACTGAGCAGCCCCCTCTCACACACACAGCCCCCCCTCCTCCTCTTCCTCAGCATCTTGAGACGTGCCAATATCCCGTCGTTCTTTCTGCCCAGTACAACAACTCACCCCCCCCCCACCCCCCGCTCCTTCGTTAGGGAAACTCGCGACTGAGATGCATTACTTCAGCGTGCAGACGGGAGACGCGGGGAGAGAGCGAAAGGATTCGGCGAGCAACTCGTGGCGTCTCGCAGCGAGCACGCACTGCAGCGGGAAGAAAGCGCTGGAGGATAGGATGGGATGTCATCAGAGAGGAGCGCACAGTCCGTCCGGTCGCCTGGCACGGACGTGCGCGGAGTGGAGAGCGCATGGAGAGGGGGCACGCGCGCGCGTAATTGACGCGAGGGTGCGCTTTGAAGAAGAGAAAGAGGACACAAGGGGAGGAAGGGAGGGAAACGGGAGGTGAAGTGCACGAGGTGCGTAGGGAATGAGGGAGGAAAGGTAGTTGTGCGATTTACCGGAAAACCATCTCTTCCGGGAGAACCCTGCAAAAGGTTGAAAGAAAAAAAAATAAACGTCAAAAGTAAACGAGACATCTTATTAACGTGCTAATGTGTGCAGTTTAATCTTGATTTGAAGCGTTCGTGACTGCAGGAATCCATACTATTTGGTTCTTTCGGTAAAGTCACGTAGGTAGACATATTTATTTTATTTTATTTTTAATTTATTTTATTTCTAACTACGCGACTTTACCGAAAGAAGCAAAGAGTATGTGTAAAGTTTCTTTGTAGATAGGGAACAGGTACGCAAGCGAAGCTCTGTGTGCCTTGCGGGGCAGCATTGGTTCGTGCTGCGACCTCCGTTTGCGGCACACTTCACTGCTGCCCTGCATGCGCTGCGGTCTGCTTTGATGATACTATTACTGGGAGGAACCTCCTGGTTCCACCAGCCCACAGGGGATTATTGTGTCCGTCCGTCCGTCCGTCGTGCTGGGAGCGGCTGGGTGGGGAGGAAGGGGCTGGGTGGGGAGGGGCTGGGTGGGGAGGGGTGGGGAGGGGCTGGGTGGGGCTGGGTGGGGGTGGGAGGGGTGGGGCTGGGTGGGGAGGGAAGGGTGGGGAGGGGCTGGGTGGGGAGGGGAGGGTGGGGAGGGGCTGGGTGGGGGGTGAGAGGGGTGGGGCTGGGTGGGGAGGGACTGGTCACCCCGTGGTGCCCTTATAAAACTCAACGTTTAACCTACTCACGCCGGCTTGCGCCCACCCTCACAGTCGGGCATATTTGCGGAATACACCACGCCGCCGTTGACCCTGGCCATTGACCGAGCAACCCAACGTTCCTACCAGCTCCCTCCGCAGGAATGTTTTTGCTCTGTGCATGCTGTGCGGCCTGCTGTGTTTCGCTATAGTGCCGCTGCACACGCTGCGGTGTGATGCACTTCCATGACGGCGCTCGGGTCTGCTGCTGTGTCTGCTGCACTTCTCTACTCTTCTGCCTGTGTGGCCGTGGTCTGCTTCGCGGTTCTGTGCAGCAGTGAAAGCGATGCATAGGCAGGGGGGATGAGGAGGGGCGGATGTCAGTCGCTCCACTTACCGGCTTCCCTGCAAGACACACGCACACACAGAAGAGCGCACGGTTAGACGCTGCGATATTCATAATGATATTAACCTTTATTTATAATAACACAGAACATTTAAACAATAATAATGATCATTTACAGACATTTATATATCCACTCAGAGACAAATACATCAGTATGCTTTGTCAGTCACGGGGGTTGTTTGACCATACTTCACCACACTGGTCAGTGTGGGATTGGTGGAGGGTGGATTGGGGCAGAGAACGGTTCAGAGATCACTCAGCCCTGATATTATTCGTAGCCACGACTCGCCGGGCTTACAGCTCGTTGTGCCAACCAGCAATGTTGATGACAAACGTGGCGAGTTTGATTTTACAATATTGTGCTTTCTCACACGTGGCTTCGCAGATCAGGGCAAAGAAACATGTTTAGATTCCCCGAGTGGCCGGGGACAGTTCTATGGACGAGAACAGAACGAGTCGTGCCCACTCCGTGCCCAGCGACCCTCGCGGCCCCTCCCCCCTGTCCCCCCACCCCTGCCCGCTGCCCCGCCTGCCCAACTCGGAGCCGTGTGTCCGGCAGGGCTCTCTGGTTTCAGTGACCACTCGCACAACAAAGGAATTCCTCGCCGGCCTTCGACAAACTGCATCAGCGGCAGCAGCAGCAGCACCAGCCGCCGGCCTGCCCCCCCCTCCCAGCCCACGCCCACCCCCCCCTCCCCTCTCCACGGCATCTCGCTAGCGCCGGGCATTAATTGTGCTGACATCAAATCGTGTGCGGCACATGTCGCGGCGGGGCCGGTTGGGAGCGAGCGTTTCCGGTGCGGTGCCGCCCGCACTCTTCGGCTCACGCAGCGAGACGGATCCGACGCCTCGCCGGGTCCCCCCTCTCCCTGCCGGTACTGCGCCCCCCCCCCCCCCCCCCCCCAAAAACACAATACAACCAACACCCCAAGCCAAAACCACCGCGACTAATAATCTGCACGCAAGAGACGACTTAGAGATAACAAGAGGCGCGATTGTGACGGCTCATTGCTGCCATCGCACCCGCATGTCACGTGACGTTGTCCTACTGCGTGTGCAACGGACACGATACTGTGGAGCCAACGCAGCTTGCCGGGGTCGCGTGCCAGTACACCTCACCCCCCCCCCCCCCCCATGACTCCTTCCTGGCAGTTCCTGCCCAAGTTCCCATGAAGAATCGATTTTCTGGGCGAGCATTGTCGCTGGTTCTCAGTTGTGCGTCTCCCTTTTGATTTGTCTTCATTCTATTCTTGGGTCCGTCGGTAAAGCCACGTACCGAAAGACCCAAGAATATGAATTCCTGTGGTCACAAAAGCTTTGAGTCAAGATTTGTCTTCATTAGTTCACCTCTTGGACCCGGTATATTTGGTGGAGTGCTAGGGAGGAGCGATGACTTCAACGCCGCCGTTAGTAAAATGGGACTCGCTTGAAGGGATCAGCACCTCTCCTCTGTCGAACCACTGGTGACATCACTCCCAATGGCCCAAAATTCCCACTCGGTCATTAAATTTACACCCTCGACACAGAAATAAACAAAACTGTACGAGCAGCATAATCTTCGGTTACTTCCGCCGTTCCTTTATTAATATTTTATTTCGCCTCCTTAAAAAAAAACCCATCTAATCCAGCCGCTACTAAACTTGTCCTGAGCAGTCGTGAGGCCCTGGGGCTTCCCCGCCCGCCTCCCTCCCCCGGCCCCGCATCACAGCCGCCCATGCCAGCTTTCCTAATTGGGCGGCAATTAAAGAAAACTTGTGCAGCGAAAGTCCGCGGCTCTCCGCACACACGCTCCTGGATCTCCTCCGGTGGCTATCGCTTTACCGGAAGCCTGCAAAACGCGCTTCTGTGCAGCGCCAAGCGCGAGCCTCGTGTTACCGCTGTCTCCCTTTCTCCGCTGCTATATTTATGCGTGGCACTAGAAGCTGGCGGGCGGCCAAGCGCCTGCGCTCGTCTATTAAGAAGCCAATATTTCAAACAAACTTATCACCTCTGACACAAAGGGGGCTTTGAGAAACGTCTCTATTTTTAAACCACGCCGCCCTGATTATTCGACAGCTAGCGCGGAATGGTGCCGTGACAAACTCGTTAAGGGGTTAATTAAAATGATTAACAAAAACAAACTCGGGCGACCGAGGGAAGGGAATAGCTTGTTATTGATGTCGTTACGCAGTAGGGACGAGCGCCGTTGAACCCAAACCCACGATATTGTCAGGGTTATTGGGACGCGGGGGGGGGGGCAGTGGTAGAGCGGGGTGTGATGAGACTCGACACTCATAACACTTCCCCTGCAAACATTCCTCTCGTGATTGTAATATCACAAAACATCCCTGCGAACCATAACCATAATCGTTTCAAGCTCAAACACCGTGAGGCACGTTCAGACGATTACACCTGACGCGTGGCTGGAAGTGAAAAACAAATAAGCGGGGACACAAGTGAGATTCTCAACTCCCCACCCCCCGCCTGAACTCATCGTGCGGTATCACAGCCTGTGTTGTGGCGACCCCACACGGTACAGCTTCCCTTCATTACCAACCATCAGGTGCGTGGCAGGTGTGTCGTGGCTGCATTTACATATGACAATAAACGACACCACATGTGCAGACTTTGTTTTCAATCCACTGCGGGATGAAGGCCTCCCCATGCCGTGCTGGTCATGGGGGAGTTATTTGACCGTGCAATTCACCCTGTTGGTCAGTGTAAGTTGAAGGTGTGGAAACATAGATATAGGAACATAGAAGCACAGTACAACAAATAATTGTCGCTGTACCGCCCTCTGCAGTCCGCAATGTTATCCCGCAGAAAAGATTGGTAAGAGCAAAAAGGCAGACGGTATGAAAATCGGAATCTTTATTTAGACTGGAGGAAGCTGGTGACCTTCGAAGCTCTTTTTCACGGATGGGTGTCGCGAGGACCGGAGCGGAGAAAACACTGAACGAGAGCGTGCTGCCCAGACTTGATACAGACGCGCGTGGGGATTTTGCACGTTTGGCTCTCGCTTGCTTTGGGACGTCACGCGCTGTTGTTCGTAGATTCATCGCTAAGTTTAGCGCTCGCATGCCAGAGGTACCCCACTTAGAGATAGCCCATTCAGAGGTACCCCACTCAGATGCACCCCACTCAAAAGAAAATTCATCACGTGAACTAGCAGAGGAAAAGAAAATGAAGGGACCGTGAACACAAACGTGAAACAGTGAACGAATGAATGAATCCGCATGCGACGCGAACAAAAGTAGCCCCCCACAAAAAAACCCGTTACAATTATAAGGGAAACGCGCCGTGCCAAGAGTGAAAGGAATTCTCAGGTTACTGGGTGCTGTGATTACAGCTGGCTCCATCAAAGCCGCGCACCTTTCCCAGCACCCCGGGCTCCCGACCGAGCATCGGCGAGCGCTGGGGGGGGGGTCTCGGTTCCCGTGAGCCGGCGACGGCGCCCACCACCATGAGAACAGGTCCACTGGGAGAGATCAACGCCGCGAGCGGTGGGTCCGGCGGCGGTGGACCGCACCCTGCGGCAGGTGCGCACCTGGCTAGGGTTGTCACCTGTCCTGGTTTTGTGTCCCCCCCCCTCCCCTCCCCCCCAGGATTGTCTTGGTTTTGTGATCGGTTTTGAAATCGCTCGCCAACTTACGTTAACCATGGCCCGGAATCAAGCTCAGCTTGGCAGGTTCATTGTGCCTACCCCACCGCTCTCCAAGTACATCAATTAAACAACAACAACAACTGCCATTCGCCACTAAGTAGCGGTGATGTCACCATGGTGCCAGGCTATGTACACTTTAAGGCCATGTGAAGTGTCAGCAAGCTTAGTTCGATATTTTTACACGTGTTTTCGTGGTGATTAAAATCAAGGTGGAGGGGTTACCAGCCCCTTGCACCCGTCCACAGCCCAAGTTGGCCGCTGTGGTGGCTACAAGCGCCCATTCACACACACGCGATTAACATGTGATGGAGTGGCCACGCATCGGCGCTTGTGAAATGTGCACCGCAACATCTGCCCGGCGACTGCCCACGAACACGCGGCCACCGCGTCGTTCGTGCCAAACGACACCCCCGGCCACACCTGGGCTCTTCCCCCCCCCCCTCTCGCCCGGTGCCCCCCATATCCCCAACCTGGTCAGGCCAGGAAACTGGTGCATTAGGGAGGAATGCTCAACTCAAGCCCGGGCAGCAGCAACTGTAGCCTCGACAAATCCGCGCGGCGGCTCCCGGAGGCCACGTGCGGCACCTCGAGCGTCGAGGGCCCCCGGGCCGGTGGCACACACTTTGTTCCGTTCTCACGAAGATCGGGGAAATTGTGTCTCGCAGATTTCCTTTACGTGCGCTCTATTTCCAGGCAGCAGCTGGGTACACAGGGACTGTCATCGGCATTTTCTGACTCCCCCCCCCCTTTATTTATAGCTCTCGTATTAAAAGGCAATTATCGTCAGGTTACAGGCGGGCCCCGCCTCGGCACTCCGCGCCAGGGCCCCAGCTCGACGTCAATCGCCTGACGAAAGACTTCTCAACGCGCTTTAGCAGCAAAATAAACCGCTGCGCCTCCGCCGATGTACGTTGGGCTCCGTGGAGCGAGACACGGACCCTGCGTTCCTCTCCAGCCGAACGAACGAAGGAAGGGACGCATCTGAGAGAAAGCCCACCCATCGCGGGCACAGGTGCTAACTGGGTGGGGGCCTGTTTAACATCGCAGCACCCCGGGGGAGATGGTGGACAACTTTGGGGTAGGCCTTCATCATCCAGCAGTGGAGCGGCCGTGACGACGTCGACTAGCGTCGAGGGAGTTACTCGTGGGCACCTCGCGTGGCGTGGAGAGGTTTTTGGTGGGGGGGCGGCAGGGGCCGCGCGCGGGGAGGTGGGGGCCTCGCCAGAGCGACGTTGCGTGAAATTCGCGCTAGCGGGAGGGGGTGCGGGCTTGCGTGCGTGCGCGCGTTTACGTTGGCCTTTGTGTATCCCGGGTAAAATAAAGGGACAGTTTATTTGACAGTGAAAAAAAACCACGGAGGGGTAAACAGAGAGCGTTTTATAGCGTCAAAAAGGCCACGTGCTGGTATTAGTGTTGGCTTCGTGTGGCAATAAAGAAAACATTTCCATTGGTTCGTGCATTCAAAAAAAGTTAAGCTAAACCTTTCAGGTTTTCCTCAACTACAAATAAGTAAATATTATATTACACACACACAGAGACAAAGATCCACCGTATAGCCTCCAACAGAGTGTTGGCGCAAGTGCAGATAGCGAGCGCCTATGATGGTCGGAAATGGTACACGCGGGGGTAGGTGACCTACACCACACCAGGCACTCATGTAAGGCCGAGTCGTTCAAATATTCGCAACTGGTGATGGCCACGAGCGAGTATTGAACTTGGGTGGCCGGGTTCATAGCAAAGCACGCTAAGCGCTGCACTGCCACTCCCCCCACACACACACAAACACGCCAACATATACAGAAATTACATATGTCTAAATGAATAAGGTAATTTGCTCATTCATTAGTTCCCGTGCCAGGCACCACCCATCACCATAATGCAAACAATTGAATCCTCTAGACCCCCGACCCCATTGCTGAATTCTCTGTTCTGGAATTTCTGGTGAATTTGCCATGCTCCCGGCTTTGCTACCGCAGCCCGTCCGCCCTCCTCGCAAAAGCTGCTGCATGTACAGCGCCCGTTACTCTTGGAATCTCCTGCCGCAACGCTGAAGTTTGGTCAATTAACCCGCATGCCAAACACGGCACGGGAGGTCCTGATCCAGCAGCGGACGAGGACACGCGGTACAGCGGAGCTGCCGTGCAGTGTCTCGCGCACCGCACTGTAAACTCGACCGCCCAGGTTCGATTCCTGGTCACGGCTGACGTCGTCAAGTGGCGACTATTATCTGAACCGGTTCTGGCTGCCCCCCCCCCCTTCTCCAACTCGCACGAACCATGGAGGAGAAGTATGGTCAAACAACGGCCATGACCGACACGGCGCGTGGTGAGGCCTTTATCCAGCAGTAAATTGACAAATAACCGTACACGTAACATTGCATATCGTTGTACGAGAGTACTTCTCTTGAATGCTACTTTAATAGAGAAGTACTCCTGGTAGGTACTTCTGTCTCAGATAACTACGCCTGTCACCCCCCTCCCCAAATCCGCCCCCCCGGCCCCCTCCCCGCGTTATAAACGCCGCTGAACACGTGCGACTGAAGAGAGCGCGAGGAAAGCCCTGGCCACCACGGTAACCCTAGCTCACTTCCTGGCCTCCGGTTTCGCTGGGAAGGCTCTAAACAAGGGCCGTTAGGGGCGCACCGCTGCGCACCGCACCAACGCTACCCAGGGGAGCATGGGAAGGAGAGGAGGGAGGGGGCAAGGGGCGGCAGAGGAGTTTTCTCTCGCTCTGCCAATGCTCACACGCAAGCAACACCCCGGGGCGGGGGAGGAGGTGGTGGCTTAATTTCTCACCGATGATTTTTCCCGGGTGGCTGGTGAACTCGAGTATGTGGAGCGTGTGACGAGTGGTCACGGCGATCGTGACAAGAGTACGACTCGATGTGGTGCGGAAATATTTTTCGGTCGTGAAAATCTTTTCTGAGATGTCAGCCTGGAATCCCCTGGCTCCAGGTTGAGGAGGCGATACAAACTCCACCCGCCCGCCGGGGTTTTCAGACTCAGGGGGTATGATTCGTTGATGATTGGCATATGAAGGTAATATGGCCTCCGATGAATCACTCCCCTCGCAATTCGGTTCACTGTTACAATCGGGAGAAATTGAATATGGAGAATTGCTGCTTTATTTGCCGAGGTGGTAAATACAGAATCTCGAGTGGCTGCAGGGTTTACATGACCAAATTACATACGACGTGTATGAATGAAAAAATAATCGATTCTGACACAATGCACATATCCTTAATGCAAAAACGAATTGTAATAGATCAATATATGCATCAATACTTTGCTAAAAGGCAACGTGTGACGATGATTATAATGATGATGCCTCATCAGTGCTTGGCCCCCATCAGGTCGGGTTCCCCTAGGGATCCGCACGGTCTGCGAGTGCCCGTCAGGCTGGAGAGAGCACTGCTGATGAGGCCGATGCCAGTGCGTTACAGTTTCTCAGTGGGTCTCTGTGTGAGTCCACGGGTCTCTGTGCGAGTCCACGGGTCTCTATGCGAGTCCACGGGTCTCTACGTGGGAAGCTATTGCCAATGACTCCACCCGCACACATTATCACCCGAGACTGGAACACCCCCGGGTAGAATTTGCAGCCTCGTCCACCTAGTGCCTTGCACCACCACCACCACTACCAACCACTAGCACCTCGCGGTTATCGTTCAACTTCGCGCCGCCGGTGTCGAGTTGAATTTCTTTTGTGCAATGCACGACTTTTGCCGCCCGGCAGATTATCGCTGCACTTGCGTATGCAGTGGCGGAGAGTAACATTGCAGAATTGGGGCTTCATGACTCTGGAAATACATGTGAAGGGGGGGGGGGGGGGGTGGTGGGGGGGGTGGGTGGGGGACAGCCTCACCTGGCTCCCCGGTTCGCCCTCGCTTGCCCATCCTGCCGGGAGGTCCTGCAACACAGAGGCAAGAACCGTCAGACCTCGTGGACAGCCAATGGTGTCCTCCTAAATGACCCCAACAATTGGGGTCAATCTTCAACGTAGCGGTCTGACACGTTGAGGCTCTGTCTCGCAAAAGACGAATCAAAGTATTCAGGTTTCACCATCCTTCCCTCTACCCCGCTCCTACATTCCCCTCTTCCCTGGGCCACTATTATTCGGCCTGACCACAACCACCTCCTGAGAAACATTCGCAAGGTTGCAACCATCGACTTCTTCAGAACACATTGAGATTTAAACAAGAATAGTTTATTATTTTATTTTGTTTGAATAATTGCCTCTGGCATCATGTTTTTGTGATCGGGAGCAGCATCGGCGCCATTCCCTCACTGGGTCATGACCTTTGATTGGACTGTTATCTCCGTACCCCAGTGCTAGATTTCTGGGTTGTTATCGATCTCCTCTCACCTCTCATTACCCCACACCGAAAAACAAAGATCTCCCGTGTAGCTTTTACCTAACTCTTTTGGCAAGTGCTGTTAGCGAGCACCTATGAAGATCAGCACAGCACACAATGGGGTGGGTATTCATTTAAAGCTCAGTCGACCTACAGGAGGTCTAAATATATTCCAGCAATGTTAGCCACGGCCAGGGATCAAACTCAGCTATCTGGGTTCACAACACTGTGTGATGAACCATCACGTTATTGCTCCACACACGCATTCACGTCGACAAATGCACTCGCACAGTTGTACAAACACTTAGCCAGACACTCTGAACGAGGCTTTCTCAGAGATTGGTGGCGTTAGAGGGTTCTTCCTGCTGTCGAGTGCTAAATACACCTCCTTGTCAATTTATCTGCAGGACTTAGTGGTGGCACTTGACAAATCGGGACACTCGACAGCTGCACTAGAGCCAGGCCAAATGCTATCGCTAATATGACAGACGTGAGTGGCAGCGCTGTAGTGGGGGAAATAACAGGGCACTCAGCGGCCGCACCGACTCTTCAATCGAGCACTCGACGGCTCAGCGACGGCAGGCTGCGTAGGCGCAGCGGCTCCGCTCGGCGCGCTGCCGATTGATCGTTCACGACGCTCTGCGCGCCGCCGCTGGTCGCGAAAGTGCAGAGGCTTCGTTGGGGCTCAGAGGGCACACGAGGCACTTTTGCTCTCGCGTGGCACAAGCGTCGAACGAGATCGCCCGCGAGATCTCCTGCGAGATCCCCCGGCGCGCCATCGCACCCGCGGGTTGACCGAGCGCTGGGGCTGGAACGCATCGCCTCCGATTTTAAGTGACATTCTTTCCGTTGATCTTTTCTGCCGCTTAATCAAATTATGTAGGGAGGAAGCTCAGCCGAGGGTGCAAAGCCTTAATATTATTATTATTAAAAGCGTGGTTCCAGTTGTGGTTGCGGTGCGGATGCATGGTGGGTGAATCTAGGGCGACAGGCCGGGCTCTCTGCGTGCGGGTGTTAGATTAGCGGACGTCTCCGCTGATGCCACCAGGTGCCCCCCCCCCCATATGCTTTGTTCAATTTGGGTGCACAACTTAAGCAACTTGTGCCTGTTTAAAAATAGAAAAATCACTCGACAAACAGTGAAAGGTTCGAAGGCAACCAATACCTTTTTTTTAAGGAACGATAAAAAAACTGCTCGAAAATAAAACCATCGCCCGCTGTGAGCTCCTCAAAAAGTGTTGCGGGAGAGAGAGAGGGAGAAATCGACAGGGCCACCTGACGCTAACCCTCACGCCGTCTCCTCAAAGTCCTCACGGTAAACGTAGCTGCCCGTGTGAAACAAGCACATTTCCACGGCTGACAGGGTGGGGGGAGGGGTGGGGGCAGGGGGAGGTCAACGCCGATGCTTCTGGGAGTTTGAGAAACTGGACAAAGCAGCAAATAACACGGCGGTCACTCATCCCCTTTGTCTGCCGCTGCGTCTTCACGTCACCACAGTTCAAAAACCCTCGCTCGCGACGCGGTCATCTGTATGTACGTACGTTGAACTTCTTTCGCACCATACGTAGCCATCCGTGATAATCGGAGGTGCGGGGTAAGGACAAAGAACGAAACACAGAAAATCGTTCTAAAGAAATGAGTTTTCAATCTGAATTTTAAAAGTGCACAGCTCCTGTGGCTTCGGAAGGAAGAGCGTCCCGGATGGCCGCAGAAGTGCATCTGAAAGCGCACGATGCGGTGACGACCGACTTTTCGTTCGATGGTTAGCCAAAGGCCGCCACCGCGAGGATGACCGGAGTTTGTGTGATGGTTTACACTCCTCGTCTGTCGAAAGGGCAGACAGCCGGCTGGCTCACGGGGACAATGCAGCTCTAACGTGGCGCGCGCCAACGTTGTCGTCTGGATGCGATCACGATCACGTTCGAAACAAAACGCTTACCAACGAATATAAAAACGGTGAGCGATGTTCACAGATGGTTTGGGTTTGCCTGACAAAACTGGCAGAACCGAGCGACGGGTGTTTATCTTGGACAGGTTCACGGGTGCACGACACTTGCCATGTACACACGCGCTTACACACACATATATGCGTGTGTATGGCCCACAGGGTACACAGAACACGACCGCACCAGACAACAAGACGAGCAACAGACGCATCATCAACGCAAACCGCTACACAACGGCCATTGTGAGCGGCGCCACGAAATCAATGGATACGCACGCTGCAACCCACACGGCACGCGTACGCACGCAGGCAAAGGCACACGCAACCGCCGGAGACTCTTATTAAGCGGCACTTCAAAGTGGCCTTTTCATGCCCGCTAATGTTGATGTGCTGGCACAAACACCGGCGTGCGTGCGCACACGATTTGGCCACTCCGTGCAACAGGGGCGGTAAATGGGATCTCGCCTGAACCTCTCTGAATCCAAGCACAAGCCGATGCTGCCGCTGCTGCTGCTGCTGCTTCTGTCAGGCACGTGGTTTTTGTTTGAACAATCGTACGCAGCATCGCCCAACATGCCACAGACAGGCATCGCTCGCTACAAATTGGCCCCTTGTACGACAACGACAAAAAAACATCGCTGGGCTGTGTCCGACGGTAATCGCAACATGCTACCAGCCGCTGCTGCTGACCGCCAAAAAAATACACCTGCGAATATAGGGCAGTGGAAGACGAACGAAGGAGAGCGTTCGTGTTGTCGTGATTCGCCGGTGACCAAGAGGCTTGAGCAACTGATGCGTGCGGTTTATTCCTGTTCACGTCCTGCCCGTCCTGTGTCCTGTGATGGCAGCGACGCCTCGCGTGGTGTGCATGCGCGCACTTTAATGTTTTGGGTACGACACTAAATGAATGCTTTAAAAAAAAAACATTTAGAGTAGAAACACTCGCGGTTTGGAAATGAAAAATTGAGAATGTGTCAATTTATTCCATGGATGCAGATCAGATATTTTAATTTATGGTACCGCTTAAATAGTTTTTTTTGAAAACGTGAATATGAATTAATTGAAACATTTTCACATTGGCAGTGTCGTATATACATCTCCGCCGTGCTCCATCAGCAGCCGTCAATTTGAGATGGCTCCCACACCCCACCTCGACCCATCCTTGTTTGCCAAAGACGAAAAACAGGCAAGGGTGGAATGAGTAAAAAAAACACACGCGTGTTGAGGGTTCTCTTGTTAATAAATGCCTGGTTGTGGCACGAGCGAGTGGAGAGCTGACAGGAGTGCGCTTACCGCAAGCATGTTGTGCTGGGCGACAACAACATTGCCCTGTTTGGTACGTGTGTGTGTGTACACGCGCACATGTACAGCCGCAACACTCAGCCTCGTGTGTGGGCACTCGTTAAAACAGCTGTGCGCAGATCCAGGGATTGTACAGAGCAAGGACGGCACAAGGAGGGAGGACATTTCCCCATTGTCATGAGGACATCCAGTCATGGGGAGCGCCACAAGGGAGTATTTGGGGGCGAGGAGTGAGGTTTTGTAGCTCTGCTTTGTGTCGTGGGATGTCACTGAGCAATTGCGGGATGGTGACGTATGAAAGGGTGTCGCAGATCATCATGGTCAAATCAAGGGCCCGCATGTACCACTGGATATTGGAATCACTGTGAGGTGGGTAACAAGCATTGTAAATTTACCCGGGAGAGCAGTATAATGGCGTTATTTAAATTCCCAAAATCACGAAGAGTGGAGTTAGCTATGAGTGGAACTACTCATAGGAGAGGTGGGTACTCGGGTGATGCAGCAGTGGAGATGGAAAACATCATTAAGTAGTTTGTCACACAGCTCATGAAGCAAATCTGCTCGTGGTGGGTGACGATTTCACGTGGCCTGGCCCGAAGGAAATGCCCCAGATGACAGCTGCTTCCAATGCCGATTGACGCACGACGAGCGTGCTCTGAAATTTGTACCGTGCTCCGTGCGTGTGAAAAACCCAGCACTTGCACTCAAAGGTCTGCTAAGGCTATACGGGGGAAATGTATCTTTGTAAAAAACACATCTCGCCCGTCCACCACATTACACGCCTGCCACGGGCGTCATTCCGAAAATGCGGTAACGCGATCCCGTCAGCGGGCGTCCCCTTCGCGAAGCGCAGCTTCGGAAACAACGCAAAGCGAACAAATTAGAAGCAACGGTCTCGGCGAGGCGGCTCGCGAGCTGGACAGTCGGCACGCCGTGAGAACGAGAGACGGGGGGTGGGGGTAGAGGGGGGAGGGAGCTGGGGTGGGGGGTTGGGACCTCCAAGTCCCCTTGGGGCCAGAGTCGGTACCCTTTGATCTCAGGCTCCGCTCAAGACTAGCAGCAATGCCTGGTGCTGCATAACGAGCGTTATCAGAGCTGCCTCCTCTGCCCCCCTCTGCCACCACTGCCTCCTCCTGCGGGCTTCGTGGGACTGTGATGGGAAGGGGGAGCAGGTGGGTGAGATTATGGGGGCCTCTTTTAAAATGCTTTTTTTTGTATCAAACTGTCTGGCAGCTCAAAATAAATTCCCTTATGCTGAAACGGCAATGATTATTCGTCAGAATCTTAACTTAATCAAATTGTCAAAAG